TTCACCACCAAGGTAGGTGCCCTGAAGCCTTTAACTTGCTTAGTTTTACCTTGGAAGGGATATCGTCACTTGATTATTCAGTGGCTGCAAAGATTCTTCTTAACTTCAAGCATAGAGTTGGGGGTTCGTGATGTACACTTTTAGTTTCTAGGACTGTATAGGAGGACTTCGGTGCCTGATCTCCCTGCTTCCTTTCTGTTCCATCTCTCCATGAGAACGTTCTTCATGTTTCCAGCTTCTGGTCCCCACACTCTTGTTTCTTGTCCTTCAGTCAAGTGTTTTGTGAAGCTCATCTGCACTGTTCTTTCTGTCTGTCTCCCTTTCCCTCTGTCCTCTTCCCCTCGAAGTCTTTGTCCTTTTATTCACCTTGGGTCTAAGCGTTTCTCGTGTCTCTGTGTTTCTGTTTCAGAATTGGCTGGGGTACACCAGGAAGAGAGCTCCCATCGGCTTCCACCGGGTTGTGGAAATCCTGCACAAGAACAATGCCCCCGTACAGGTGAAGTTTCTGGGGGAAGCATTTGCCTGCAGAACACCTGCAGTGGTGCTCTGTGAAGAAAGCCTCCCTCTGCCCCTCAGAAGTAGATGCAGTCCATCCGTCCCAAAGAGTGACTTCTCTAAAGTATTTAGGAATATTTGGCTACGTTGGATCCCACAGCGAGCATAGGCATAATGTTTACGTGACAGAAAAGGACTGCTCACAGGGAATGTCAATGATGTGGCTTTATCTTAGACCTGGAGCTTGGCCTGCTCTCACCGTTAGACTCCAGAGAGAACGTATGACTGGCTTTTTTTCCCCCCTTGAGGTGCATGGAGAGAGATTTAACAAAATCCATTCCATCTCTCTTTTTTTCTTTTTTACTAAAAATTTAGTAAGAATTTAAAAATGAACATTGCAGTATGCCAAGAAAAACAAAAGAGATTGTATATGAAATTGAACTTTGTTATGTATAGTTTGATGTTTTTTTCCCTATTACATAGAACTTGGTTTTTTCTTTTTTTAATTCAAATTTAAATGTGGCAGTTTCAACATTGTTCTACTTCTCTGTGTCCTCTTCTGTACTTGCTTTTGTTCTCTTTGTGTTTTTTTTTTTAAATGATTCATTGATGGGCCTTTCTTTTCATCCTGTTTTTATATTATGGTCACTACTTCCCCACTGTCTTCTTCCCTCAGAAAAGAAAAATAAAAAGCTTTCTTCATATAAGTATATCTCCCAAAAGAAATTCACACATTGTCTGAAAAATGTATATGTCATTCTGCACCTCTGGTTCATCACTTTTCTGCCAAAAGCATGGTTCGTCAGGGTTCTGGAGTTGTAATTGGCCATTTCATTTATCATAGTTCTTTCACAGCTGTTTTCTTTTACAGTACTGTTATTTTATAAATTGTTCTACTAGTTCTTTCCACTGCACTCTGCATCACATCTTACCAGTCATTTCAGGTTTCTCCAAATCCATCCATTTTGTAATTTCTTAAGGTATAATAATATCCCCTTATATTTATGACCATAATTTGTTCAGCCATTCTCCAGTTGGTAGGTACTTCCTTAGTCTCCAGTTCTTTGATGCAACAAATATTGTTGCATCAATATGCAGTAAATATTTTAGGGTCTTTTCCCATTTTTCTTTGATCTCTTTGGGAATAGGCCTAAGAGTGGTATTGTGGGTCAAAGGATATACACAGTTTAATGACTTAAACTCTAATGAGTAGAGCTCCAAACCATTTTTTCCAGAATGGTTGGACCATTTCACAGCTCTAACAGCAATACATTAGTGTAACCATCTTCCCACATCCCCTCCAATAACTTAGAAGTGTTTTAATTTGTATTTTTCTTGAGTGATTTGGAGCATTTTTTCATATAGTTGTTGATAGCTTGCCTTTCTCTTTTTAAGAACTATCTGTTCATGTCCTTTGACAGCCCTTTGTCAGATTTTTTCCCCCAGTTAAATGTGTCACTTTTAATTCTAACTGTATTGATTTTATTTGTGCAGAAACATCATATATATATTTACGTGTATGTGTAAAATGCTTGTTCTTACAAATTACATACATTTAATCTTTGCAAGAACCCTATAAGATATAGGTAGTGCAGGTATCAATAAAATTTTGGAGGTGAAGAAACAGTATTTTGGAGAAGTTGCTTGCCAAAGGCCACATAACTAACAAAGCACAGAACCAGGATTTAAATCTTGTCTTCTGACTACAAGTGCACTTTTTACTCTATACTGTACACTACTTTTCATTAAATATTTGTCTTTACTGGCTTAGAAGTCCACCAACTTCTAATGTCTCTTCTCCCACAGGTCTTACAGGAGTATATCCGACTTGTGGAAGATGTGGACACAAAGCTGAATCTGGCTACCAAATTTAAGTGCCATGATGTTGTAATTGAAGTAAGTCCCAGAGGAAGAGGGCCCTTGAAGAAGAATAGAAGGTGGATCATTGTATTTACTGTCCTTAATTCCCTACTTGTTTGCTTTCTATATATTGGATCATGTGGCTTGGTGAAAATTGGGCTGGAAGCCAGGATTCCTGGGTCCTGTTTTCAGCTGCATTGATAATTTGCTGTATATCCTCTAGTGAGTTGGTTTATGGAAGGCAAAGTTTTGGATTAAGCTAGCCAGGCTTCTCTCCCCAATTTTTCTCCACGTGGCTCTGTTGAGGCCCCTCCCTAATTACATTATTATCTAACTCCACAATAACCACCACAAACTTTATTCCTGGTAGGCTCACTTAGGAAGGTAGTAAGGAAACAAAATAGATGGTTTATTTTGTTTTGCTGCTCAGACATATCGGGACCTGAAGGATCGGCAGCAGTTATTAGCTTACAGGTGTAAGGTGGATAAGGCATCTGCAGAAGAGGAGAAGATTGACAGCATTCTCAGTAGTACGGTAAGCAACTTGGATTTGACTTTCTGTCAACCTTGGGAGACAAACTGTTCACAAAAGAGCCACCAGAGGGGTGCTTGCTCCCTCCCAAGACCTAGTTAGAGCAGCAGTTGTCTGAGCAGATTGAGTATTAGTCTTTCAGATGGGTCTTGGTGCCAGCAGTGTTTGCTTTGAGCAGGATTTCTTTCCAGGTTTTGAATGAAATTAGGGTTATCATATGAAGGTACTAGTTCCTCTGGGGGTCTTTGAGCTGGTCCTCAATTGGTGTGCCTAGGGTTAAGACTAAATTGGGACAGGGAAGAAAAATTGAGAGTATCTACGATATAGTGGTTTCAAGATACTAGATCCAAAATGTCCAGACTTTTAGTAAGTAGAACTGGGTTACAATGGTGATAACAAGTAGGTAAAACAGACTACATCTGTTTAGTGATGGCGGCTGGCTGACAGAGGGACCATGACATTTAATCCCCTATTTAGATATTTTCTGGGCCTGCTCTGTGGTAATTTTCCACAACCAGGATTTTTCATTTTTATAAATTTCACTTGAGGGAGTACCAGCCTAACTAGTCCTGAGGATTACAAAGATAAATGTAATATTCCCCTTAAAAATATCCTGGGAGAATTCTTCTTCGCCTTCCTTCACTCTGCCTGGAGATGTGTCTTGCCTTGCTATCTCTCTCTAATCTTTCTAGAGGGATACAGCTTTGCCTAAAGGCTAATACTGACTCAAAAGGCTAATACTGACCAGACTCCTGCATTGTCTGCTTTTTGCAGCAAATTCGATGGAAGAACTAATTGGAAAATAGTGAACCAAGGAACCTTCCTGTTTGCCCTCTTCCTGTCCCCTAAAGAGGAGTGGGGAGCTCTTCCAGGGAGAGGTATTGTAAGCCACATCATTTGGGCCTATCACCAAAAGGCAGAGCCTGTGCCTGGGACAGATCAGCACTTAGACCAGAACATCTTCAAACTGAGCCTCAGACTAGAGGACACATGATGGCTGAATTTTAAAGCTGTGATTTGTGAGACCCTGCTGACTAGGAGCTTTTGTGAAGGTCGGGAGGGAGGCATTTTCAAATTTGTGACTCTGAAGGCTAATTCTTGCTTTAACTGAGAAGATGATTGCTTCAGAAAAGAGGTGTCCTGGACTGAGTGTCAGTCATCATGGAGCTGGAAGCTTTCTTGTCAGCTGGTGGTGGAACCGAATTTGGTTGGACAGTGACTATTCCAGGTCAAGTCAAAAGGCCAGATGCATCTACATCATAGGAGCAGAAAGAGGGTGCTGAAGATTTGCAGGGAACACGACAGTGATGACCAATTCACATTCATTTTTACCATGCTCTCTGAAGTGGTTTTTCCAGCAAGTGTTCCTCGGCTATACCACCTCACCTGCTGTCCCAAGAGATTGTGGTTGCTTTCTCTTGCACACTGAGGGTCCTTCTTGTGCTGGTGATGACAGCAGATCCCTATTATTTCTTCTTCTTCTACCCCAGACCTAAGGCTTTGTTTAGAGATCAGATGTAGCCCCCTGCAGATTCCAGCAATGCTGGGAAATACTCTCTTCGGTTTCTCAACCCTTTATTGGGAGCTGCAGGTAGGTCTATCTGGGGTAGATCCAGACTTGCTGCTGCCTCTGATCTACCATGGATTGTGGTGAGGGTCATTGTTTTCACCCTTGGTTTTCACAAGGGCATCCTACAATGCTTGATTACTGCTCTGCACCAAGCATAGTTTCCTCTCACTCCTGTGTCAGAGCTGGCTTGCCCCACCCTCATTAAGCTCTTAATAAAGCTGTTTCTGTGCCTCCCTAGGTGCCTTCTGTTTCTTTCCTTCCATTCTGTTCCGAATGAACCTCACAACCCTTTTTCTTGGGGTGGTCCCAAGTCAGGCCCCAAGTTAGTGGTTCTGTATACCTACGTCCCCTAAAGGACAGTGGATAGAGTGCTGGCCCTGGAGTCTGGAAGATTCATCTTCCTGAGTTCAGATCCAGCCTCAGATACTTGCTAGTTGTGTGACTTGGACAGGTCACTTCACCCTGTTTGCCTCAGCTTCCTCATCTGTAAAATGAGCTGGAGAAGGAAACAGCAAACCACTCCAGTATCTTTGCCAAGAAAACCCCAAATGGGGTCATGAAGAGTCAGACACCACTGAAAAACAACTGAACTGAACAACAACACACCTACTTCCCTCAAAACATGTATAGTCATCATGGAGATAGCACAAGGTAGAGAAGCAGGGTGGCATAGTGGAAAGTACACTGGCCTCCGAGTTAGAGGATTCTAGTTAGCTTTGCCACTAACTAGTGAGTGGTATTTAAGAGGAAGCTAGATGACTCTGAAGGATTCATTCACTGGGTAGAGGTTGAACTAATTGACCTCTTAGTTCCCTTCTAAATCAAAGGATTCTAGTGACATGACCCTAAATAAGTTAGTTTATGAATCTAGGCATCAGGTTTATCTGGTAAAATGAAGGGGGGGTTGGACTGGATCATTTCTAAGGTCTCTCTTCCAACTAAAACTTCTGACTCTGGTGACCACATAGTATATGAGGTGGCAGGACGGACGGAGATGATACACATGGATGCATAGCAAAGTGCCTCACACATCGTAAGCATTTGAGGGGAGAGTTTTGGTCCAGACCTATGATCTCATTGGTGTGGGGTTCTCCATGTAAGTAAATACCCTCCACCACTATGACTGTTCTGCAGCTTCTGAGTCTTAAGAATGTTGGGGGCACTAATAAACTGAGTGACTTACCCAGGATCGCATGATCTATATCAGAGGCACAGGACCTAGAGGGGCTTTCTGACTGAATCAATTTATCTGCCAAATTAATGTTTATTAATTATAGGTATGCACATACGCTACATTTTCATTGCATCTCCAGAAGATACATAGTCTGTCCTTCCACTTAGTCTTTGTATTGCTGGTCCTTTCATGTTTAGTTTTTCCCACCATTCCCCTAGTCTTGCCTCTAGTAGCTGAAAAGGCAGGAGTCCAGTTTACTAAGCTGGTATTGGTATTTATTTCCAGTTTCCAAGCAAATAAAGTTTGATAAGCTGTTTCCATTTCAGAGCATTTTTACAAGCTGACCAGCAAGCCTAGGTGTTGACTGATCAGATCAAGTTAATTCCTTGTGGAATATGTGGGCTACATTGGGCATGTTGATGGCTGGTTATTTCTGGCCCATCACTAATACATGAGGGTAAGTGAACTTCGGGTTGTACTGATTATTCAAAGTCTTTAGTATCCCAAGACCCAACTACCTGAGCATTTATTACTCCTCATGAAGCCTATATTCCACCTTCAATTTGCTGAGACTTGTTTTTGGAGAGGGTTGGCAGAGTGGTACAGTGGATTCCCCTAAAGAGATGAGAAATTAGAATCCCTTTTGAGTTGCACTCTTAGTCTGCCCACTGACTTAAGACTTTGAATAAGTTCCTTTTTTTGTGCATCAGTTTTTTTTTCCCATTGATAAAATAGAATGTAGGCTTTAGCCATTGAGGCTTACAGATCTGGAATTTTTCATTAACCTTTTGGGGACATGTGAAGAAATGGCTGGGAAATACATTAGAGGACAATATTCTTTAGGGTTATTTGAATATACCTAGTAGCATTTAAATAAGCCCATATTACTGTCTGGGGAAAATGTAATGATTTCTTTGGGAAGAATTGGCCCCTTTAAGGCTCAGAGACTAAAGTAACATGGTAGCTAAGGAGTAACCATGACAACTTTCCTGGGTAACTCCTAAAGATCTATTTGGATTCTGTTGTCCAGGACAGTATTTGCCAAACACTCAGTGGGTGGAGGAATCTGGGGTAAGGAGAGACTTGAGATGATCCTGGTAGGGCCAGTAGGAAATCTAAGTCTGTGTGAGGAGCTATAAGCTTATAGGGCATTTTCTCTTCTATTTCTCCAGGACAGAAAAGACATGGCACCCCTGGGTATGTGAGCTCAATCAGTGATTAGAAATGTGCCATGACCTCTGTTCATTCAGAGAACAGGATTTGACTACAAAGTCCTGAGGAATAGGATGGAATGACTAGCCCTGAATCATAAGTACTGGTGAGAGAGGGACACAAACTTAATTGTTAGAGGCTCTCATTCCCTTCAAGATTGGGCAGTACAGACAAACTGACTACCTGTTTTGGTAGGGACTGGAAGATATGGAGACTGTAGACCTGATGGACAATCTGAAGTCCCTGCAATTTGAGCAAGGGGTTCAAGAGGAAGAGACCCCTTGGCTGTTTCTTCAGAGCCGTTCCCGAGGATTAATGATCCAAGCCTGTGCCCATGCAGCATTTTTCTGCAGACTGCTCCGGGCCTTGAGGTAAGTTAGGCCCAAGAAAAATCTGGATACCACTGACAGCAGATGAGGTCCAAGACCTGATCTTAGGAGGAATTTACTTGAGCAGTGGCAATTTGCCCTCCTTGGTCCACCCCACAGCCACCATGAACCATGTTATTCCATATCCAAAGCCACTTAGCTGAGATTCCAAACTAGTGGCAGTTTATATGCCGTTGAATGGATCTGTTAGACTCAGGACCCAGCTACCAGTATGTCTCCCTCATTTGCACTAGCGTGAACAGTGTTTTGTCACTTGGGTAAGGATTGGGTTCATTCTCTTGTCTAGAGATAGTGCTAGAGCCCTTCTCTATAAGAAAGTCCTTGGGACTTGGAGACTATGAATTAGAATCATCTAATTCAGCCTATTTCCAAGGATGGTGACATTTAGACTGATTTAGATGGATTTCTTTATTTGAAGCAAAAAGATCCCAAGGTTCTTGGTGTCTCCTACTTCCAAGTGCCTGGGCTTCTAGGTTGCTTAGATAAGAGATGTAGGTGAGTCAGATGTCCGTTGCTGGTCTTCAAATCATGCCTAGAGTTTGCAATTCAAGGTCATTTTTTCCTTGTGCCTTAGTCTTGCCCTCTATGAAATTAAATTATTACCGCCTTGATGAAAGAGGCTCTAGATGTTTCACTCTGCCTTATAGCAGTGGTATCAAACTAAAATAGAAATAAGGACCACTAAACCATACATAAAGGTCTCTATATGCTGCATATTGACTTGGAAAATCACACATTTATTTTATACACACACACACACACACACACACATGCATTTTGTTGATGTCAATACATTAAAATCAGAAACTACATTTTAATTTGGCTTGAGCCACACTCAAGAGTGTTGGCCTGCAGACCAGTGTTTGATACCTCTGCCCTAAAGCATCTAGCTTAAATTCTGTGCACCCAGGCAGTGGGCATAGAAGAGGGGCACAATGATGATGATTGATATGACTGCAGGACCTCACTAGGTCTGGAGGGAATAATAAGAAATCATCTAGTAAACTTGATTAGGGCTTTTTTATAGTGGGGATGGGATAGGCACCTAGTCACTTCTCAGTCAGGAGAAGAGCCCTAAGTAAATCCTGTACTTGATGGGACTATGGAAACCCAGTGGTTCTATCACTAGCGAAGCACAGAGTTGGAATAGAGTTTTTTGACCATAATAAGATACCAGTATTACTCCTTTATCTAACATTTAGACTCTGCAACTTCAACCCATGCTAACACAATCTCAAACTAGAATTGAAAAAGGCTTATGAATATAACAAATAGCTATTATAGTTCCTGACTATTAAATCTAGGCACTTGAGTTCTGTAGGAAAGGTCCTAAGGCCCTCACTCAGTCTTTATTTATATTCTTAATTATCACACAGTTCTATCAAGTTGGGTTATGTAGTTTGCTAGGCCATTTCTTAGTTCAATAACACTTCAAAAGTTGATTTCCTTAACATGGGTACTCCCTTATTCTTTCACCAGAATGGACAGATTGGCACCTCTCCACAAGGATATTGTGGTTGACAAATATCACCTGGGCCTATTCAAAACTTTTCCAATTTTGTGTTGAACCTGTCAAAGTTTGGGCTTTACTGGTATAACCTAGGGTCATATCTGTGCCATTGGAGTAGGGCTTAAGGGAAAGTTTCTACCTCATAGAACATAAAAAAACCAGCAAACTAGTAGCAGGTTTATGTGATAGAAGTGGGTTGTTAAGAAGTTGGCTCAGGGGGCAGCTAGGTGGCACAGTGGATAGAGCACCGGCCCTGCATTCAGGAGGACCTGAGTTCAAATGCGGCCTCAGACACATAACACTTACTAGCTGTGTGACCCTGGGCAAGTCACTTAACCCCACTGCCTAGCCAAAAAAAAAAGAAGAAGTTGGCTCAGTAACAGCTGATGTAACCTGACTGGGAAGGAATTGAAAAATTCAGAGCAGGTGCCTAACTATGCTAGAATACAGTAATGGTAATCAAATTGTGCCTAAGAAGGCAGAAATGCATAATTATGTTTAGAAAAGTGCCCAACCAGAATGAGTAAATAAAAGTTTTGGAGGCTAAAGGGATTCACTTCAGTGAATTTGGAAAAAATTTTTTGTTAGCTGGAAAATTCACAGCTCATTTCCTGATGGTGCCAGATAAATGAGAAATCATTGTAATGCATTTTCTTTGAAGTTATATCTACATAAGGAAGCTGGATTAATGTACTTCTGGAAATGAAGTTTTAGGACAGCTGAAAGTTACCTGTGTTCTTGTTTTTTCCCTCAGGAAAATGGATGGGAGCACCTCAGTCTCGATGCTACCATCAGAGGAGGAGGAGGAAGACCCATATAAAAAACCTTCCAAAAGAGATCTAAAAGTGGGCATCATTGGAGGTGGACGACTGGGAAAGCAGTTGGCTCTAGTGTTACTCCACTGGGCCTCCATCCCTGCCCAGAGCCTTCACATCTCCACTCGGAGGCCAGAGACCCTAAGTAAGAAGTTTGGAGGGCCTAAGGGATCCTATACAGCCTTCCTGTCCCCAAAATAAAATAGAAAATAATATTCTAATTTGTTTCTCCAAGGCAGGTCCCTTGACTGAAACTATTCCTGTTGCACTTTATTTATGCCTCTTTCCTCTTCCGACATAATGTCAATGTAGCTTTCTGGGTTCTTGATGCAAGAGGAAAATGCTTCCAGGCAAAGAAGTTTCTAATATATACAATTAGGTCATTGTTTTTATATTCTTAGCTTCTGTTCTAAGTTAGTGGCAAAAAAAATATTTGAACTTGAATTTTGGGTTTTTCTATTCAGGCCAAGCTTCCTAATTCTACATTTATAAAGCAGCATAAAGAATATGTAAGGCCATTTCAATAAAATGAATATATATTTTATAAACACATGTTTTTAGTGTAAATGATGGTGTTAGGATAGGAAAGTACATAGTTTAGGGAAGCAAATGTTGAAAATGTTTGCCATCAACTTCTACCATTTTGGAAAATGTTATTATTTACATTGGCATATATGTATCTGTTCTCATGAGATTTTACATAAATCTTGATGATTGTTCTAGAATTTATTTTTTATATTTTGCTTTACTCTTTTTAGAGGCAATGTGATATAGGGCTTAACTAGCTGGGCTCAAAAGCTACGAAGAACTTAGTTCAAGTCTTACCTATGTCTCATTGGCTGTGTGACACCGATAAATCATGTAACCTCTCAGTGCCCTGAGCAGCTCTCTAAGGTGTTTCAGTTGCAGAGAAAGTGCTCACCTTCATTGGTAGATGGAGTCCCTTCAATGAGAAGTTCCCTGTACCAGTGAAATCTAGGTCCAGTGTACTCTTTCTTTCGATAAAATTTCCCTCCATAAAAAATTCTTATTACCAATATCAATAACATCTTCAGTTTTTCAATAATATTTTCAAAACTACATTATTAAAACATCAGACATGAGTCTTCCATGTAAAACTTCTGCTTTAAGATAATCCATATTGCCAGTAGAATGACGTTACTGATACCACCTAGTGGTCTTATCACTCAGTAGTATCTTTCTTTTTTTTTTTTTTTTGATGAGCCAATCGAGGTTAAGTGACTTTGCCCAGGGTACTCAGTAGTATCAATGAACACATTTCTTCATTTGTTAAAAGTTTTATCTACAATTAATTGTGTACCCATTTTTCTGAAACATTCTATCTTTCTCATCTACTCTGAACCTCTCACCCCTCATCTTCTACCACCACTTCACTTCCGCAATCCTCCCTACTCAATTCCCCCTGAAAAGATCCTCATAGGGATGACAGCCAATAAGAAACTCCTCCTTCAAAGGAAAAATTCTGAGAAGTTCTAAGTGCTCCTTGAAAGTAAGATGAGGAGGATTGATTCCATCACCTAGAAAACTGTTACTGTGGAGGCAGACATTCTAATAATGGGGTTAGTGCATTGCTGCAATAGATTTTTTGAAGACAAGAGTCAGAGGAAATTACTTATATGGGCTGATTTTGAAATAATTATAAACCTTTCCTCACCATAAAATTTAGATACAAACTCCCCTGCAATCTCTGCCAAAAAGCCTAACCCAAAGTGCCGTGGTTCTCTTTTCCACTTTGTTCCTTTCAGATGACCTCCAGAAAATGGGGATCCAGTGCTTTTACCACAACTGTTTTCTGGTAGAGTGGGCTAATCTGGTCTTCCTCTGCTGTCTGCCATCCCAGCTGCCTCATATTTGCTTGGAAATCAACACTAGACTAGCGAAATCCTGCATTGTGTATAGCCTGGTTACTGCTGTCCCTCTGCCTAGGTAACTACTTTAGAGTCTAGATCCGTGGTTCTTAACTTGGAGTCCACTGAATTTGCCTTTTAGGATAGTCGGATACTTGTATTTCAGTACAACTGATTTCCTTTGTAATCCTATGTATTTTATGCTGTGCATTTAAAAACATTATTCTGCAAGGGAGTCCATGGTATAGAAAAGATCAAGAATCCTTGAGTCAGACAGAGTTTTCATCTAGCAGAGCTATATCTCCTCTGCCTCCTTGTACTATCTGGTCCAATCTCTTTCAGTATTTGAGTAAGGATTTCTTTTAAGATAGAAACTGCTTTGCTTTGCAGAAGGAGTAAGTCATGCTTTCCTAATCCTTCCATTCCTTCCAGGCATTCTGCAAAGAGTGCCCTGTTAGACTGACTGCTTACTTCTGCATGATGTTTTGCAACAGAATTTATTGCTAGGACTAAATGGGAACCCAAACTGTACTACTAAGTTGGATAACTAATTTATTTCTAGTCCTGAGATGGGGCCAGCTAGGTGATACCTGGAAGAGGCAGCAAGACACAAGTTCAAATCCAGCCTCACACACTAACAAGTTGTGTAATCCTGGACAAGTTATTTCACCCCTTCAGCTTCAGTTTCTTCATCTGCAAAACAGAGAGTACACTAATACCTACTTATTAACAGTCCCAGTAATACTCATAGTCTCAGTCCCAAGATTGTTGTGAGGATCAGATAAGATCTTTGTACAGCACTGTAAACCTGGGGCAGCTAGGTGGCACAGTGGCCCTGGAGTCAGGAGGACCCGAGTTCAAATCCTGTCTCAGACACATGACATTTACTAGCTGTGTGACCCTGGGCAAGTCACTTAACCCCATTGCCTAGTAGAAAACAAAACAAAACACTGTAAACCTCAGTGGTGGCTCTTATGATTATTGCTATTATTCTGTCATGTTCTTCCTTTTGTTACTGCCTCTGAATGGGCACCGTGATTTTACTTCCAGGCTGAAGCAGCTGCTATGCCACCCCACTATCTTGCGCCCCCAGTATCAGTGTGCTGAAAATTATATTGATATATGGGGGTCCAATGAGGACATCAGGTCTGCACTTCAAGATCCTGAGATAGTTCAGGCCACTTCTCCTTACAGCACAAATGGTAAAAGTTCACCAAGCTTTCTGTACTCCTGCAAAATGTCTCCACCCCTCCACCTGTTCTTTCCTGTTACATTCCATTATTGGGATGAGAAACAGAACTATTATTCTCTCGTGTCCCCAGGGTTTAATAGAGACAATCTATCAGTTGTTAAAAAGGCAACTTTCTAAAGGGAGGAGTGGGGAGCTTGACTACATTTCCTTAACTTTTTAAGAATGACCTTCCCCCAGGCCAAGCAGGAACATTCTAGTATTGATAATCTGGGAAGAATATAATTATCTGTGACCAAACTGCTCTGAGAATTTAAAAAGATGTCATTCTGTATCTTTCAAATTTTTTTTTTAAAGCAAGACAGTGTTCTTCAGGAGAAGATTTTGTTCCTTGTAACTTAAAGAATCATTAGGCTTCTCCTGCTGGAGTATATTCTAGGCTTAAAATGTATCATAAATATTAGAGTTGGGGCCCTTGACCCAGGGAGGTGATTAATCTTCACATTGCTGGTCACCACCAGGGGTCCTGGCCTCAGCTCCCTTCCTGTCACTTTATAGCTGGTAACTTGTATTTGCCCTCTTCATTGATACATAGGAGGAATAACTCTCAACATCAGGTGGCTGGCGGCAGTCTTCTATGCAGCCCTAAATATCTGCACGTTACGGGAAATACCTTACCAACAAGGGCTGAAGGTACTCAGTGACTTGTGTCTCTCTGTGCATCCGCAGACATGTGGAAAGGATAAGACTAACTGCCCAAGATTCACTGTCACAGACTTTGTCAACCAAGCCTTTGCCAACACCCTAAATCCTAGCAAGTAAGATGCCAGATGCCTGACATTTCTGGTTTGTCTAGTTTTCTCTCAGACTTTTGCCTTAGCTGATAATTTAGACAATTGTTGTTTCCTCTAAATACTTTAAAAGGTATAATAAGGTCTTTTTTGTCTTCAGTGTCCATGATTCCCTGATGCATGCCTCTTACTTAATTATAAGACAATAAACTACAAAGTATGCCATATTTTAATCATTATTTATAAAGTATAACCTCAAGGCACTTAAAAGGTTCTATATAAGGGGGAGCTAGGTGGCTCAGTGGATAGAGCACCGGCCCTGAAGTCAGAAGGACCTGAGTTCAAATCCGGCCTCAGACCAAACACTTGACACTTACTAGCTGTGTGACCCTGGGCAAGTCACTTAACCACAATTGCCTAAAAGCAAAAACAAAAACAAAAAAAAAAGGTTCTATATAAATGGAAAAGGCATTTTAAGTAAAATGAAATCGATACATTGAATAATTCCAGCAGAATTTCTAGTACAGCTCTAATTTTAACTAGTTTGTATAGGAAATAGAATATCTCACTTCCAAATGAAGGAAAACTATCTTCCAAAGGAAAATTTCAACAGTTAAATCAAGAAGTATTAAAAAGGGGGCAGCTAGGTGGCATAGTTGATAGAGTACCAGCCCAAGAGTCAAGACAACCTGAGTTCAAATCTGGCCTCAGACAGTTGACACTTACTGGCCATGTGACCCTGGGCAAGTCACTTAACCCCATTGTCTAGCCAAAAAAAAAAAGAGTATTAAAAGACAGTAATGACTGCCAGCAAAAATAGCACCACTACTAATAATACCTCTGTTCTTTTTTTCAGTGTTTTCCCTTGGTTTGACTTGATCACTGTGCAACTCAAGGAAACTCCCTTTAGCCAGCACCTAGGAAAAAGTGTGATTCTTCAGGAACACTTAACTGTTCTTTACTCTGCTTCATTTGGTATCTCACTTTCCCAAGAAACAGAAGAAGAGAAAGAAGGAGAAGAGGAAGAAGAGGCTCCAGGCCCACAGTCCTGAAAGTCACGTTTTTCAGCTGCTGGGGGAATCTTCAGACTGACCAGCATGATCTGCTTCCCAGGTCAGCCCCTTAAATGGGACGGCCGTTGACTTTCACTGCTGGCAGTAGCGGCTGCTTTATTTAGCATTAGCTTGTTGGTAGATTTACAAAAATAGAAAGGTTTTGATTAATTTGATGATTAATACCAAGCCGAGAAGGTGAAATATGTCATAGTATTGTGTTTGCCACAAACTGAGTGCTAAGGAAAAGGAAAAATTGCACTATTGGCTCTCAGAATTGTAAGACAAAACCATATATTCCCTCAATCAGTGGTGAATTTGGCTGCTGCAGATCTCCAGTATAACCTAAGCGTCCTGGCTCACCTAAGAACACAGTCTCTTGATACTGACTCTTGTTCAAAAGTCTAAATTTAGACAATTCCAATGTCAATATAGTTACATTGTGCAACATCTTTCCCAAAGCAGTCTATAGGAATATATTTAGAATAAGAAAAATGGATGGATATGACAACACTGTGATAAAATAAAGAGATGGGGCAAACCAGTTGACCAAGTTCTGATTCTCTTCATGCTTTTTATTTCAACTAGATAAGACTTTATTTTTGTCTTGTCCTGTCAAAAGTTGTTTCAATGAACCATTCTTTTTAAGTAGGTTATATTTATTTTAATAAGTGCAAATACATTTACTTCCTAAATGTGTTATAAATCTTTCCCCCCCCAATAATAATGATAACAAAATAAAAAACAACAGTAGTAATAGTAATGGTGTCAAGGTTGGCAGACAAGATGACATGGTATGGTCTGAGAACTCAGACTCTGAAACAAAATTATTCAGTGTAAATGTAAATTTCCATGGTATTAGGTTAATCATTTACATGTTGGCTTTTGCATAATTGTGAGCCAGCCAAGCTCAGTGGCGTGATGTTAGAGCACTTTTAGACTAAATCTTGTTAGCTGAGTATGGGAGGAAATTAGCTATTTCATTCAAATGTAATGTCTGGCATGAATGCCAATCTGAGAAACGGCTTCTTCTCTCTCAGTTGGAGGAAATAATATATTGAATATTCAGCCAAATGCTAGGATTTTTGAGTAGTTGTCACAGACCCTTCTGGCTTAGTATAGCCCCAGAAGAGTTTTAAGATTTTAAAAGTAAAATGGAGGACAAAGAACAGTAAAAGTTTATGAAGCCATATTGGTGTCTTAATTCAGTTTTAGCAGCAATAGTTGACTTAAAATTTCTTCTGAGAAGAAATCATGGATGAGTGAACCTTAACCTAGTTGCCGTTTAAGACATGCTTGAGCAACACTACAAAGTATAGTGTATTAGGTAAACTCGAGGCCCAAATCTATAATAAACGACAGATTTCAACCCACTTGTTTCTTCTATAGCCTATTTTGTTCATACTACCGGACTTCATTACTTGAATAATACATTAAAAACCATCATAATTCCCGATGCAATTAAATCAGTATTCTTATCTTCACTATAAAGAAGAAATAAAGTACAATACAGCAGGCTAAATGAATCAGTAGTAGAGCTAGGAAAAGAACCAGTAGTTCTGACTCTTGAGTTCTTGCTAGGGGGAAAAATCCACTTCCTCTAAATTAATTTAATTTGGTCTTTTAAATTAAGTTTATAGAATTTTTTCTTTCTTTTGGGGTGGGGCTCGACTTTCGGTTCCAATCTTGCTTCTTTGACAAACTGAGACAATGTCAAAGCATCGGATTTTACCCCAGAATGACCTTTTCGTTCCAAAAATAAGCCCATGTTGTCCCGGTAGGGAAGGGAAATGCTGCGACTGAATAATGGTTCTTCAATTCCAAGTAGCTCTCGTGTGTGATGTGAAATTACCTGAAATCCAAGGAAAATGTCTTTTAGTGGGACAACTGTCTTAACTTCAGTACAGCTAAATCAAAAGTGCTCCTTCTAATTTCCCAGATCTCTCTAAGCCTAAATGCGTAAGTTATTTCTGCATGAAATTATAATGATGCAATAAGTCAGAACCCAATCGGTCTGTTCTTACTCCAAGCTAACAGTTTTCTAAGAGAAATTCACATACGAATGTGAAATGGAATCAAAAAGCACCACTTATCAAGTTTTCTATTCCCCAGCATTAGATGGTACCAGATGAGTTCATGTCTCATTTAGTTGAGCAGCTTAACAAACTGTAAGATCAGGTCATATTGTAGGGCAGAAGCCATAGATATCCTTGTGGAAGCTCTCTATGGTCCCTACTCAAACAAAGGGCCTGCTTGTGAGAAATTCAGTCAACTTAACAACTAAAAAAGAGAAATATCAGTTAATAGAACTAAAGAAATTACTGGATTGGCAAAAACTAAAAAGTAACTTTGAAACAAATGAACACTAAATAGTTAACTTTAAGCTCAAATTAACTTTATTCTCTATATCTGCAAAAACTATATTTTAAAGAATGTAATCTATCCATCTTTCCAGAGTCATCCTTAAAATTTTAACTGAAATCATTTTTATTGATGCCCTTTATTTTTTCATTGAATATTTCCCAATTACATGTAAAAACATTTTAACAATCATTTTTTAAAAATTTTGATTTCCAAATTCTCTCCCTCCTTCCCACCTCTCTCCCCTCCTTGAGAAGGCAAGCAATTCAATTTTTGAGGTATTAAAAAACATTTGTCCATATTAGTCACATTGCAAAAGAAGATGCAAATAAAATCAAACAATAAAGATAAAACAAATTTTTAAGTATGCATCAATCCGCCTTCATCAGTTCTCTCTCTGGAATCAATTGTCTTGGATCATTGTATTTATCAGCTAAGCCTTTCATAGCTGAGTATCTTACAGTATTGCTCTTACTGTGTACCATGTTCTCGTTCTGCTCACTTCGCTTTGCATCAGTTCACACACACACACACACACACACACACACACACATATATAGATATATATATATATATATAGATAGATATAGATATATATCTATCCATATCTATCTATCCATATCTATATATCTATATCTATATATCTCTTCCTAGGTTTTTCTGAATCCATCCTGCTTATCATTTCTTATAGCAAAATAGTATTCCATCACAATCACATACCACAATTTGTTCAGCTATTCCCCAATTGATAGGAATCATCTTGATTCCCAATTTTTTGCCACCATAAAAAGAGCTGCTATAAATATTTTTGTACAAATAAGTCCTTTCCCCTTTTCTTTGATATTGTTCAGTAATTTAAGTTGTGCTCAACTCTGTGACCCTATTTGGTATTTTGGCAAAGATACTGGAGTGGTTTGCCATTTCTTTCTCCAGCTCATTTTACCGATGAGGAAACTGAGATAAACAGGGTTAAGTGACTTGCCCAGGGTCACACAGCTAGAAGTATCTCCGGCCAGATTTGAATCAGGAAGGTAAGTCTGCCAGACTCCAGGGCTAGCACTCTATCCATTGTGCCACCTAGCTGCCTTTTCTTTGGTATTGATATCCTTTAAAATAACTCCCATCGCCAACTTGATATTCTACTTTGAATTTTTCACTTCTAACTCATCTTTTCACATTCCAGTTTGAATCCAGTTTGCAGCAGTATTAATCTAGCTTCACATTTTGCATCTGGATGGGCATTTAGCCATGAAAAATACTGTCAGAATGTAACGAAAGAGGATATGGAATGTGGTTTCAAGACTGAAAAAATTATCATTCACACTAAGAGATACAGAATTCTACATATAACTAACTTCTCTATGAAAGTTTAGATGGCTCTAAGCCCTGCAGCAGTCAAGCTGCCTCTCTCCTCACATTTTACACTTACAAGTTTTTTTAGCCTGGTCAAGGATGGGAAGTGGACTAAATGGCAGTGACTAGCATGCTTGATACTAAACGAGGTGTGCGGCAACTAAAGTATCCAAGGGCTATGCTGAGATTCAGAGACTTTAATGAAAGTATCACAGATTTGGTGCTAGAAGGAGGCTTAGAGGTTAGCTAGTCTAGACTGACCATTTTACATTATGGGGAATCTGAGGCCCATAGAAGTTAATTGACTTGTTCAAGGTCACAAAAGCTAGTAAGCAGAGCTTGAGATCCCCCTTTTGAATTCTCTAGGTTAATCATTTTACATTTTGGCTTTTGTAGAAAAGGAAAAGCCAAACAAATGTGACTCCTACTAATGCCCCAACTCCCTCTCCTTTGGGAGAGAAACCAGAACCCCCAATCCATTCTTACTCTTGAACCTCCTCCTCTCCCTTCTCAGTGGCTATGAGCCAGGCTTCTATTATCTATTCATTATGTATGTGCTGGTCCTATGTTTAAGGTGACTAGATGGCCAGTTTCATACATTCTTACAGAAAAAAAGGAGAACCACCACTATCATTAAAGCAGTGGAATGCAACAGTTATGCAACTCTCAAGAATTTTACAGTTATTTATCAAATGGCCACATGCCTACTGTATGTCCTATAGTACAAATGTACTATGTTCTAATACAGAAATTAGAGGTATTGAAGAACTAATTCCCAGTTGCCTGTAAAAGGGCCACATGTAGCTTAATGAGCTTCGGTCTAATTATCTGTGCTCTATAAGACAGAACTGGCAAACCAAAGCATCTTCTTGTTTGTGTCCCAGCATTTTTTTAGAATAAGAACTGCTTCTTACCAAGCATCAAAAGTGGGAAATAAGATCTAGTGGTTCTGATATCTCCCTCCACTAGCTGAATGAAAAAAGGTGGCTTCTTACCCAATTCACTTAACCCTTGTCTTTTACTCTAAGAAGTCTCCTAACTCTTCTTGCTTGCCCACCACTTGTCCTTTCACACCAATGATGGATTTATACTCCTTATGTACAGATCCTGTCATGTCACTCTTCTGCTCAGAACTCTTCAGTGATTCTTAATACCTCCCAAAGAAAGTCTGAACTCCTTAACCTGGCATCCAAGATTCCTCACAATCTGCTACCATCTTACCTTTTCAACCTCATCTTACCCCCTTACACATATTCATACGTATTCTAGAAAAACTGGATTATTTTCATACATCCTTGTACTTTCCTTTACCTTAAGGCTGTTGCTTATGAAGTCCCCTATGCTTGGAATGCCTTCCCTCCCAATCTCCACCTTTTCAAGTCCTATTCACGCCCTTTACGGCTCAGCTCAAATGCCACCTTTTCTATTAAGCCTTTCCTAATTCCCAGATATTAAGCCCACTCCCAGTCCCAAGACTTTTTGTCTACTGGTTTTTTTTTTTAATATAAATTTATTTTTAGTTTTCAACATTCACTTCCACAAAGTTGAGTTCCAAATTTTCACCCCATCTCAATTTTGTCTACTGTTAAGTTACTTGTGTTTAGGTTAGATATCCCTACTAAATCATAATCTCCATGAGGATGATAGTTGTCTCTTGTTCATCATCTTTATGTCTCTCCTAGGACCTGGCATAGGGTTCTGAATAGGAAAACTGAACAGCCTGTCACTAACACACTTAGTGGTGCTGTGAATCAGGCCAACTATTCTGGAAAACAATTTGGAATTATGCTTTAAAAAAAAGCAACTAAAACGTTCATACATTTTGATCAGAGACCTCACTACTAGGCTTATATCACAATTAAAGATAGACATATAGATTTCATGCATCCCAAAACATTCATAGCATTTTTCTTGTGGTAGCAAAGAACTGGAAACAAAATAGTTGCCCATTGCTTGGAGAATGTCTAAACAAATTTTGGTACCATAAATATAAGGGAACATCCGTGCTGTAAATAACAATGAATATGAATAATTCAGAGAAACATAGGAAAACTAATTTGAAAGGATATCAACAAGTCATTCCCCAATTGATAAATGGTCAAAGGATATGAACAGGCAGTTTTAAGAGGAAGAAACTAAAGCCATCTATAGTTATATGAAACATGTTCTAAATCACTATTGATTAGAGAAATGCAAATCAAAACGGCTCTAAGGTACCACATCACACCTATCAGATTGGCTAACATGACAAAACAAGAGAGTGAAAATTGGAACACGAATGCATTGTTGGTGGAGTTGTGAAATGATCCAACCATTTTGGAGAGCAATTTGGAACTATGCCCAAAGGGCTATAAAAACGTGCATACCCTTTGACCCAGCAATAGCACTTCTAGGGCTGTATCCCAAAGAGATCATAAAAACAGGAAAAGGACCCACATGTACAAAAACATTTTTAGCAGCTCTTTTTGTGGTGGCCAAGAATTGGAAATTGAGGGGATGCCCATCAACTGGGGAATGGCTGAACAAGTTGTAGTATACGAATGTAATGGAATACTATTGTGCTATAAGAAATGATGAACAGGCAGACCTCAAAAAAAAAACCTGGAAATGGGGGCAGCTTGGTGGTGTGGTGGATACAGTACCGACCCTGGTGTCAGGA